TAATTCTGCCCATGATGTCACAAGATCTTTTGAAGTTTCCAACACTCTGTAATCAATATTACAAGTTAATTACATTTATTTGTGAGATTTTTTCCTGAAAAAATACCACAGCTTCCTGAAGACCTTTTTAAGTCTGGTGTGCTCTCTAGAACTGGGAATGACTTCGGTGAGCTCGGAGGTTTGCCAGCTGTGCCTGGAGGCGCTGACACCATTGGCTGAACAGTGTGCAAAAGCTCAAGATACAGACTCACCACTGTTTCTAGCGACACGGCACTTTCTGAAGCTGGTTTTTGATACGCTGGTTCTGCAGAAGCACAACACAGACGACGACAGCAGCCGGTGAGGCATTCTACACGTTGGTGTGCCTGCACCAAGTGTTCAGAAGTTCACTTCCTGAGATGATGCCCATCCCAGTAAGGGGCCTTTCTGACATTTGATTTCCTGCTCTTACTAGGAAAATACGCGAGTACTCTGAATCGGTTGAAACATTGCTGTCAAGTCAACAAGTCCCATTTATTTACCGGAGATTAGCAGATGCCTTCAACCAGCTCACTGCAAGCAGCACCCCTCCTACGCTGGATCGGAAACAAAAGATGGCTTTTCTAAAGAGTTTGGAAGAATTTATGGCAAATGTTGGTGGTCTCCTTTGTGTAAAATAAAGAACAAAACTCTATGCTTAATTTAGATCCTTTCTGCAAAGTGCACTGAATTGCTAAAAGTTGACCTGAGTCTCGTCCTGTCCTTCAGTTCCTTGGCCATTGGGGTTTTGGAGAGCTTGACATGTAATGAATGCAGTTGAGACAGGAGAGCTCAGCCTCAAATCAGCGTCTGCTATTAGATGTTACCAGTCGGTCATAAGTACTCTGTAGGTTTGGAATGGTGATTTAACATTTTCAAAAGGAAATATATGTGCAAACAGATAAGGGCACCATGAAATCGTGTTCAGTGCCTTTTCCCTCTTTGTCAAACGTTAGGTGACTAGCCAAAGTTTAAAATTTTCGTTGTGAAATATTAGGTGGCTATGTTCGGTGATGTTCCTCAAACGTTGTCCGTGGACCCCCTGCAGCGCTGAGGAAGTGGACCCAACTGGAGGCCCTCATTGTCAGACTTTGTGGGCTCTGGTTTTTTTCATTTTAATAAACTCCTCCCCTCTGTCACCCCCCCAAAAAAAAATTAGGATTTGAGACTACTAATATATCTCATCTAGTACATAAAAGAAACATTACCAGCAGTATATAATTTTACAAGCTGTTAAACTAACTCATATAAGTTCATAATAGTTTAAACTCTACCCTAATATCAGCAGGTAAAACATTTTTTAACACCAGATTTTTAAATTGCCTACTGTTAATAACATCAGAACCTTTCACAGAAAACTTTTTTACTTGCCTTTACTACCAGGCTGCTAATCATCTGCAGTTTGGAGTAAGTTGGCATTATCTCTTTACCATAATTTAATAATTTTTGGCATATATCTAAGATGGAAATTGTTGGATCTTATGGTAATTTTTGTTTAAACAACGGTGTAACATAATGGAAGAAAATAGGATTTATCTGTAATAGAAATGAAAAACCTTGGTAAGTTAACACATTTCGTACCGCTCAGGAGTTTTCTTGTGTTTCACGCGCCAGCTGTTAAGGACCGCTCACGAGTGTTCTCGTTTTTCACACCCGTGGAAAAAGGAGCGAATGTAGATACTTATGTACATTTTGTTTGGTCCCTCTTCATAGAGGAAAATGTTTTACGCAGCACCATAGGTTAAAAAAGTACTAGGAACTTTAATTGTTTAATTGTTTTTGTAAATAAAAATGTTATAATTATTGAAAAACCACACCTAAAGTGCATTATGATGATTTAAATAACGTGGTTTGTCCAAAAACGTGTGGTCCCTGGCATATTTCTTAGAGATTTCTATGCAGTACGCAATGTGTTAAGAGTAAGACTTGGCTATTTAAAAGTCACTGCAGAGCAGTATGTATAATATATGTGGATTGTATGTGACAGTGTAGTGAATATGTGTATGTGTGTGGTTTTAAAATAAATTTGAGAAAAAAATATGTAATTATATTTGACATTCAGCATTATTAGTTCCAGGTGTATAGCATAGTGATCAGACATTTATATAACATGTGAAGTGATCCCCCTGATAAGTCTTACACCCTCCTGACACCATCTATAGTTATTACAATATTGATGATTATATTCTCTAAGCTGGACTTTACAGCCCCGTAAGTGCCAATTTGTACTTGTTAATCCCTTCACCTTTTTCACCCAGTCCCCTAACGTCTTATCCATCTGGCAACAGTTAGTTCATCCTCTATATCTATTAGTTTGTTCATTCATTATCCTTTACATTCCACATTTAAGTCCTATTGGAAAGCATTTGTCTTTCTCTGACTTGTTTCACTTAGCATAATAAGCTCTAGATCAGTGATGGCGAACCTTTTGAGTTCGGCGTGTCAGCATTTTGAAAAACCCTAACTTAACTCTGGTGCTGTGTCACATATAGACGTTTTCTGATATTTGAAACCATAGTAAAACAAAGATTTATATTTTTGATATTTATTTTATATATTTAAATGCCATTTAACAAAAAAATCAACCAAAAAAATGAGTTTGCGTGTCACCTCTAACACGCGTGTCATAGGTTCACCATCACTGCTCTAGATCTACCCATGTTGTCACAAATGGTAGGATTTCTTTTTTTTATGGTTGAACAATATTCTATTTCTTATATGTATCACATATTCTTTATCAATTTGTGTATGTATTGGAGCATTTTTGTATGTGGTCACTGAAGTCTGTTTCAGTAACTTAATGGACTGCTTAGTGTTTTGGAAGAGTTCTCTTCAATGTCTAGAACCAGAAAAAAAATATTTTAAATTAGAAAACTTAAAATCTGGTTATAGACTCCTGAAACAATATATTCTGTTTTGTCCAAAGCAGTTAGAATTAATGATCTTTTGAAACTACAAATCAGATTATGCCATTTCTCAGCATAAATCTACCTATAGATGTGTATAAGCCTCTAGTACAGCAATTTTCAACCTGTGTGCCACAAAAATTTTAAAACATGCAATACCTGACTGTTTAGTCAGGGCCCCTGACCTTTTGTCCCTTAGATTGTCAAATAAAAAATTGGTAACTGCCATCACAACAGTAGCAGTCTGGGATAAATGAATCAAAAATACATATTTTTTGATGTGCTGTAGAAGTTTAGTAATTTGTGTGTGCCATTAATTTAAAAGGTGCTACTCTTACACTTTAAGTAATTCCCTCTCTACCTCTCAATGGCATCATCGACATTCCATCCTTTCACCTTTTGTTAACCCACAATACTAGCCTACTTCGGTTCCTTGAACAGGCAAACATGTGAAAGCATCTTTATTGTTGGCTTGTAGAAATTAGAAACCAGAACAAATGATAAGAAAATGTCAAATTAGCACATGCTCTAGGAATTCCAGGAGATTAAAATATACTTCACGATAGGCACTAATTTGAACTGGTCCTTATTGGATGCTTAATTTTTAGCCACCCATCCCACAAAACTGGAACGCGGATACAGGTTGCAGACCCACATTTTCAAGTACTCATTTACGGGAATATCACTGACGAATACACCTTTTGTACCCTGGGCTCTTCATACCGTAACATTAATTACAACAACCTCCTTCACTGGAACTGAATGCAGTCTTATAGTCCCTCTCATTGTAGCAAGGTAGGCATCCACTACCCCCGACGGAGGCTGATATCCATCGCTCATTCTTAATGCATGAAAAATGGTAAGTAGTTTGATTAGAGTTTATAATACTGAATGACAGTAGTGGAAATAACTGCAAAACATAAGACAAAATACGGAGAATTTAAAAACTCAGAATTTAGTTCAAAGTGTAAAAGACCATATAATAAAGCTCATAGAACTCAGTAAAATGAACATAATAATACTTTTAAAGGTAAGTATGAAATTCTGTTTTATTACTTCAAAATATGTAATGTGATTGATATCTATGATTTAATTTAATATCAGAAAGCTTTTGAAAAATAAATGCAGGATAATGGGATCACACTGAGTGGAGGCTTGATAATGGCATAATTGGAATTAGAACATGTCAGTTATGAACAATAATATCTGTGTGATAATTTGAAAAATTTAAATCTCACACATTTCTTTTAAATAGTGACTTCATAGCCAACTGATTTAATCACCATTAAGACACTTAGAATCATAAGAGGAATACTCTACTAGGAAAATATTTCTGCAGTCCAAAATATCAATGTGATACAATTATATTTTGTTTTAAAATAGCAGGTAGAAGTCCAGTTGGGTAGCTCAGTTGGTTAGAGCATCATCCTGATATGCCAAGGTTATGGGTTCAATCCCCTGTCAGGGCACATGCAAGTATCAACCAATAAATGCGTAAGTGGAACAACAAATCAATGTTTCTATCTCTCTGTATAATCAATACATATACATATTTTTTCAAATAGCAGATAAATGCATTGTGCTGGAAAGTGTCACATCAAGAAAAGTAACTACATTTAGAAATTAGCTATGGAATATGATCGGCTGAGAATGAACAGAGATTCAGGTAAGCTGGGTTTGGGAGCCTGATTAATGCTAAGAGTCACATTCTGCAGGAAGCATAAACTGAGTTGTAAATCAATAAATTTTATGAATGGATTGCCATGCGACATAATTCTCTACCGCTTACTCTGCTTGTCTCTATGCACAAAGCTAAAATTGCTACTCTTGAAATATAGCTATCCACTTTTCCTTTGAAATTTACATGCCTTGTTTTAGGTATTACCCTTTCCAAATATATCCTAGTAAAGTATCATTTGCATAGTCTCTCCATAGATCATTTCTATTTGACAGATAGTTATTAGCAGTTTCCTCTTGTGAAAATACAGATATACATATCCAGCATGCTGTTATTTATATGATCAAACAAGAATAAGTCCAGAATATGTTTTTTGTAGGGACTAAGCTTTAGTAACATACAATTATTGGGAACTATGTATATTACTACAATAATTAGAAGTATAATTTCCAGAATCCTTTTTTGTTATTTATACTAAACTAGTGGCCCCGAGCATGGATTTGTGCACATTGAAAGGAAATTAATTAGAAAGTGGCCAGCAGGGTTGGACTGGGCGAGATGGGCTGGTTGCAGCTGGGCCAGTGCCAAGGGCATCTGTGGAGTTAAGGCCCTCGGCCTGGCCTACAGGGATCAGGCCGAAATCAGCTCTTTGACATCCCCTGGGGAGTCCCAGAGGACCGTTCACCATAGCTCGGCAGCTCCTGCCTTGAGCATCTGCCCCCTGGTGGTCAGTGCATGTCATAGATCATGGTCAGTCAATTGTTTAGCCTTTTATATATATAGATACTGTAAGGTATGTATATTTGTTTATACTTTAAAGTCATAACAATCACTGCATTATCAACATTTATAAAAGGCTAATATGCGAATCGACGGAATGACTGGTCGCTATGATGTGCACTGACCACCAGAGGGGCAGAGGCTCAATACGGGAGTTGCCCCTGGGTGATCAGTGCACTCCCACAGGGGGAGTGCTGCTCAGCCAGAAGCCCTGAGCCAGGCTCACATCTGGTGAGTGCAGCAGCACTAAGGATGTCCGACTTATGTCTTAGGCCCACTCCCTAAGCCAGCAGTCAGACATTCCCCGAGGGCTCCTGGACTGTGAGAAGGCACAGGCCAGGCTGAGAACCCCCTCCCTGAGTGCATAAATTTGGTGCACTGGGCCTCTAGTCCTATCATAAATATTAAATATATTATTAAAATGTCAGCAAGTATAGCAAGATATAAATTATATTTTTTTAAAAAAACATTTACTTCTTTTCTTTCATGGTGTGCTCCAGATCTTTGAAAAAATAACAGGTATATTAAAAAAATAAAGTTGAGAAGCATTGTTCTGAAGCGTTCCCCATGGTGGGATAGCTGAAATAACATTATATTTGGAACTAGAAAGCCTGGGTATAAATCCTCTCTCAGCTATTGCCAGTTTGTGTGGCTTTGGAAACCAGTTCAGCCTCTTTAAATCTCTCCTGTGTCATTTCCAAATGGGAATAATAATTGTTGTTTACTTCACAGGGTTTTGTAATCATGAACTTAATTAGGAACTTATATCATGGGGTTTGATACAAATGCTATTTTTTTAAAAAAAAAAATCAGCTTGATGTAATTGGATTAAAAGTAAATTGTAGTAAGACGGGTTAAGGTATAATCAAGACTCCAGTCACCTACTAGTTACAGCAATGTGAGCAACTGAACCTCTTGATTTTATTTGTAAAATGTGGTTAATTATGTTTCCTTGCTGTGTTATTGAGAGGATTAAATGAGATGGCCAGTTCTTAACAAACAAAGGCCTGCCTCTTAATAAACAGGCATTATTGTTATAGTCAAAGTTTGTCTATGGTTGCTGATATTATTCCCCACTCATCAATACTTGTCCCTGGGCCTTAGGTTACACACCTAGTACTTGACAATTAGCTGGAAGGTCTCTTCAAGGACCACCATCTCATGCTTTACTCCTTGAATCTCTATGTCAGTAATGTAAAATGCAAAGCTGCTAATGTTCCCATCTATTTAAGGGCGATATAATTTTGTGTCATCAGCTTAAGGACACCCCATTCTCACAGTTCCATTTTCCTTATGGAACTAATTGGATGTGGCTCCATTTCATTCTTTTTTTACACTTTTAAAATGCAGCTCTTAAAAGCTAATCTGAAGTGTTCATTATTATCTCCACTAGCGCTGTTTTTCTCTTGGATATTCTTTAATTGGATTCCTGTGCAGAGTTAACAATAGCTTTCTGGTTGAGGTTAGAATGATTCCCTTTTCCGCCGTTTGTCTGAGCTTTTTCCTTCTCAGTGCAAACTACAATAAGGCAGCTGTGAAATCCATGTCATCTTTTCAAAGGCTCAACGTGGTGAAAGCATCCCAGGTGCGTCTAGAGACCACCGTCTTGACCTAAGTGGCAGTGCTCGGGCTTAGAATAAGCAATTATGGCTCTCTCATAGCTAAAGTGCTGAAGAGTCCTTTACATCCCAGCAGGAGTGACTCCACTTATATTAAAGGAAATTGCAGCCTTTGTGCATCTCACACGCTTTATTACAATTTTTTACAGAATATGGTATGTAGAAAAAGGGACTTGGTTCCAAAGGGAAGATTTAAAAACCTGGAAAACGACAGCATCCCTGTTATTTTTCAAGAATTAAAATGAAAATTATGCCTTTTTAAGGCCATGTTTTGAGTATTTTTTTTTTTAAGGTATGAAACATTGAATAGAGTAGGATACATCTACTGCAGACACTTGGGTCCACTCTGCCAAGGTTATCTGCTGGTCACTGTGAAGCTACAACAGTAAGATTTTAGATTTATTATTATTTAATTTCTTCGTGTCCCGATACAAAAATAATAAATGTTCTGTCCCTAGCATGTCAATTCCCAGTGACTGTGTGATCAGGGCTTTCTGAAGTGTAACTTCACTGTGCTGATAGATGTACCACTACGGTTTGAATTTAGTAGACAGACGCTTGAAATTGCTGTGTTATTTATGGGTTATAAATTACTTGCTCGGAAAAAAATTAAATAATGAAGATCTGTAATCAAAGTACTCCGGGTAATAATACACTAAACTAGTCTGGTGAAATTTAAACCGAGTGAGACTGTTAATGGATTTCAGAAGACACCAACTTAACTTCATTCTGATTCTAAGAAAAGACAGTC